CCCATCCTCCTGGCCTGGCCCAGCTCGATGGTCCATCGCAAAAGCAACGTGACCCTGAAGTGCTGGTCCCCATTCCAGAACTCCACCGTCAGGCTGGGGAAGCTGAACAGTACCTGGCTTGAGCAACAGCCCAGCTTGGCGAGACAAGGGGCTGAACTCCTCCTCGTTGATCTGCAGCCTGAGGACGCCGGCAGGTACGTTTGTACCTACAAGACGACAGGTTCCAAAGGATGGTCAGAGAGCAGCCACCTGCGGCTGGTAGTCACAGGTGAGCAGGACACCCTTTGGCACATCCATTCCCTTCCTGTGACAGCATCTGGCTGGGGAGGAAGAAGGAAACTAACATTGAATCATTGTTATAATTGAAATAACAATTGAATAATTGAAATGACATGGATCATTGGCGATCTCCCCATGGCATCCATCTTTCCTTCTCTCCTTGTTTGATCTACTTTTCTAATGTGTCAAAAGTCAGTGCGTTCAAGACAAACCCAGCTTTGATGGAGAGAGGCTGTATCCACAAAGAAAAGGGGGAAAGGAACTATTATTACAAGAGGGATGGGGCCCGTTGTAACAAGGAGAACACTCTGATCGTTAAGATCAGCAAGTGTTTCAAAGAGTTAGAGAAGAAGGGTTTTTTGTTATAGAGACTGGAAGTAAACAAGACTAGAAAAAACCCAGGTGTGGGGAAGGGTATGAAAGAGTGACATTGTTGAATAGCAAATCAGAATTTTCACGCTGAGGTAGTCTGTTCTCTGAGGAAAAATGAAAGAAACACCCAACTAGTTGCTGTTGAGTCATCGAGTGAAGACCCCAGTGTGTCAGAGTAGAATTCTGATGCCTAAGGTTTGCAACGGCTGATCGTTCAGGAATTCATCACCAAGACTTCTTTGTGAGGGACCACTGAGTGGATTTGAACGGCCAACCTTTCAGCGACCAGCTGAGAGCATTCATGGTTTGCATTTCCCTGCAAGGATCCCTACAGATGGGTACTGCATTGGATCAGAATTCTTGGCTGGTGCAAAAACGGTTAATGAGCTCAGCTACTGACCAAAAAGTTGGGGGTTTGAGTCCACTCAGGGGTGACTCAAGACAAAGCCTGGGCATCTTCCAGAGAAGCAGCCATTGAGGACCCCTGGAGCGCAGCTCTCCTCGGACACGCACGGGGTCGCCACGGGTCAGAACCGACAGCAGCTGGGTCGGGAGCTCCTTGGTTCAGGCTGAGGGTGGGCCAAAGTGTCAGAGATTTGAGAAAGGAGAGAACCTTAACCCAAATGTGTTCCATGTTTTCTTGATTCATCACTGGGCATAAGCAATTGAGTTATTCATTTATAAGATGAGCTCTGGTGGTTCAGCGGTTAGAGCATTCAGCTGCTAATCAAAAGGTTGGTGGTTTGAACCCACCAGCCACCCTGCAGGAGAAAGATGA